ACATTGGGATTGAGACATTGGACAGGGATTATTTGGGACCTGTACCGAAGACTTGGTGTTGACGACATTCCCATCTTCCCTCTCTTCTTCATGTGATCCCCTTCCTCTTCGTCTGTGTATGGTTGGGGGTTGGCGCATTCTTCCTGTGTGAGCGCCAGGCCCCTTCACACCATGTGATGATGATGATGTATGTTCGGCTTGCATTGCGACATTGATTGCCATGATTGGTCTGATCATTGGCATGTTAGCCTTCCGCTGCCCTATCCTGTACTATGTGAGAGAGGTCGGTTCTTGTTCTGGTCTGTACCATTACGGTATGCGATAGAGTGTGATGTTTGCGCAGGTTCGAGTACGTGATGACTGCAGCGGCTGGTTGGGCTCCCGACGGTGCAGCAAGAGAGGGTGCACAACCTGTTGTGGCTGGGCAATCACCACCCTCATATACAATCACAGGGAAAGGAAGCGGAACTGGGAGGACCACCGGGACCGGTGATGCTGTTCTCCAACTCGGATAGCTTCCCTGGTCCCACAAACTCTGATTTATGATGCTGGTGCTGATTGTTGACCACCGTAGATGTTGACGGTACCTGGGAACACAGTTTTGTAGGATGAGCAGATGTGGAGACGCTGGGACTATGTATGGCGTAGATTGACAGGTCTAGAGTGGCCCTGGGATTAGCGGGCGATTCTGCTGGGTCACTGGACCCCTGTTTTGCTTTCCTTATCGAATTTTCAGCAGAACTTACTTAATGTATGAAGAAAGTTGTTTTATGGGTCTTATGGTACAAGAGGTGTGTGCATGCATTGGAAGAAGTAAGAATTGAAGGTAAGGAAATGTCAGACCTAATTCAACAGTTCATACAAACAGAGATCCGAGCCCACTGGCTGAGAACAAAAATTGAACTGCAAGCCTGACAGCACTGCACTGAAACAAAAATAATAATTTGTAAAAGTTGATAAAACTGAGAATTCAGAAGACTTAGTTCACACTTGACTGGCTGGGGGATGTATCAGGGAAGCGACTGGGGGATGTGCTTTGGCCAGGAGGGGAAGGGGATGAGGTGTCCTTTAAGACGGATTACTAGATCATCTTCCAAGACTGGTTCGATGTCTAACAAGGAGCTTCATTGAGATCTCCAGAATCATTTTCTAATCCTTTCCCCCCCTCTGAGCTTGCTTTGGTGGATCTACAATGGTTTGGGGGGGGGGTTGAGGTCTGACACAAAATGTTGAGGATGTGGCTGCTAGTTTTTTTTTATGATATCTGATAGACTATATATGTCTGAAGAGGCAGCAAGCATCTTATGTTCTATTATGTGACTCTGTAAACATCAGGGAGGCGGGACTCGGTTTCCAGCAGGTGCTACTCCCCACCATCTGTGCTTAAGCCTCCAACGAGGGAACATGCGGGAGCTGCACCCACCAGCAGGAGGGCGATACCGGCCAGGGGTCAGCCGGTAGACGCGCAACCTCACGCCCTGTGCTGTCTTTCGTTCGGAGTGCTAGATGTGCGGAAAGAGGCCCAGAAAAACAGCAAGATGGGGTGTGCCAAGGATTTTTGGAAATTGAGTGTGGGGACACAAACGGAACTGAGATCCCCCTTGTTGGTCCGATGAAGTAAGTCGATCGTTTTTCGAGCGGCGCAAAATGCGCGTGGAAGGTTGGCTCAAGAGGAGAGAGAAATACAAATTCAACCCATAAAATATTGTCGGACTTCCCACCTGGCTACAGCCCGTCGTTTAGAACAGAAGGGCTTCGGCACGCTTCGCGTGTCTCGCTGTCGTATCAAGTCCCGTCGTCGTTCACTGACCAGTTCTGAATCCGACGTGGAGGGTCTTAATCGCGTGGCTCTTTCTCTATGTTTGTCCTCACTCCGCACACGGTAGTGGAAACCCCTGGATTCGTAACGCTCAAAGCATGGGCATTCGGTGCATAGGGTGCACGACCAATGGGTTTCTACTGTCGTCCACGGGATGGCGATCAACTCGTTGAATGGCAACAATATCGAGTAAGGTGGGAAGTGCGTATCGATAATGACAAACCCAGCCTCTACGAACCCTGAACAACGGTTTGCCGGAGGGAAGTATTATCGTCCGCCGATTTGTGCGACAGCTTCTCGTACGTCCCACTCACACACACGTGTCCTTTCCTCGTTATAGGGAAAAGGCCGTGTTGATACGGGAGGTACGGGAGGCTGACGCCCGATCGAAGGGTGCTTGTAAGTCCACATGTCAATCAATTGCAAAAATTCCAAGACTTCATCAAGGCAAAACACTCGCGCAAGCACTAATCAATCCTTTTCGACACGAGAGAGAGAGAGAGAGAAAACGCTCATCGGCTGGATCATGCATGTAACTAAGGGACCGACCCGCGACTCAGGTTCCCGTAAGCCACCACGGTGTTGATCCCAGGCGCCTTATTTCTCGAGGCTGCCCTGTAGATCGGCTGCAGATGTCGTGCAGCATAAGGCAGATGGCATGCGCAGTGCATTCAGAACTACAGATCTAAACACTCTTGCATTCTCGAACAAAATCTCGACAACAATCGTCTAATCAATGCAAAAAGACACGTACCTCCATACATACATTCACTGTGGAAGGTGCAAAAATGAGATATGCACAGGGATAAAAGATGGATCGCGGAATAATACACACGCATCCACCCTTCACAAGACAAGAAGACGGGGTTCTTGCATAGGGGGACTACCCAGGAAACTAATAGAAGAGTTCCGGAAGAAGTTCTTTCACACAGGAACAGCATGCAGACTCATTCTCATTTGAGAGAGAGAGAGACAAACATCAAGACACATCATCATTCAAAGATAGAGGAGAGACAGGGAGACGAGGGAAGAATGTCGAGATAGAAGAGGATAAGATCCGAAAAGAGGAAGTTCGGCGTTGCTGTCGTACACTGACGCGAGAGATAAAGATCCGCAACAACAAAGGCGCATTCGCCGTTAATTCCAATATGGCCCCAGGCCAATCACTCACTCAACTCCAATCATCGATCCTCATACCCGCACCGACGATCTCGGCCGTCGCGTGCTGACTCCCACCACTGCGATCGTCACCCCGCCGACGTAAACTCGACGCGGTTCGCCCAGATCTCACAGTCCGTCTTGGCGATCAAGGGCGCAACCGGCCAGCCTATCGTCAGCCCGACGGGACTTTCCGACTCGCACCAAACACTCTGGAAGCTGGCTCAGGAGTTGAGAACGTAAGAGAGATTTGCGGGCGCGTTTGCGGAATTTATAGTGGCGAGGAGGGAGACAAGGGAGAGAGAAGGCAGGGGGAAAGTCGAAGTGTAAGAAACGAAGCAGGAGGAGAAGATTTTGAGAAGAGGGCTCCGTGGAAGCGATGTTGATCCCTCAAGACTCAATGGTTCAACCAATCAGATTCGTCGCGCAATAGGGAGATCCTATTGATCCACGTACCTGATTGGCGAGCAGGAGTTATCGAGGGATCGACTGTGCGTCATGCGCTGAATTCAGAGGATGGGAAGGAAAAAGGCGCGAGAAGCAGCRCAAGACGGGTCCAAGATTCAGATGATYAAGAAAGGGAAATGGGCGCGCAAAGAGGAGGGCGGGAGAGAGAGAGAGGGAGGGAGAAAAACAGTTACGAGGACAGAGAAAGAAGAGGGGGAAGGAAAAAAAGGAGCGCGGGAGAGAGCGATGCGGGGGACAGAGAGGAGAAAGCTTTGCATGCGCGACACCGTCAACAAAAAAAGAAAAAGGCATCGAAACAGTTACAACTTGCCTACATCCTAAACCAATTCAAAATTGAAATCACCATATCCGCGCGCGAAAGAGCAACGCGGGAAAAGAAAGTCCTACGCCTATTCGTATCCCCACAAAATTCCGAGACTTTTCCCCAACGCGACCGAGAACATTCACACACAAAAAAAACACGTCGAAGTTCCGCTTCTCCCGGAATTCCCAACTGTCGGTCACAATTCCCAGTGCGCTCGCTAAGGCGCGTGTAAATTCCTATGCATTTCCCGTCGTGCAAAAAGAAAAAGAAAAAAACAGAACCGAAGAATCACAAAAGCTTCCGGAAGATGGGGGCCTGAAACGCGACACCCGAAATCAAGAAAACGAAACGGGGTCTTTATGGGGTGGTATGATACAAGCGAAAAGGGTATGAAAGATAGCACGGGGCCGGGAAGTAGTTCGTCACATATGTGACGCGCAGGGGGTTCCAAAATTATGCGATCTCTTGATTGCATGTCATGGCGGAGAAGGAGAGAGGGAGAAAGAGAACAAAGTGATGCATGAGGAACCAAGCGTATCAATAAACGATCCAGCCAGAGCCCATGTTGACGCCATCTTCAATTGCCATCGTGCTGCTGGAATCATCGATGGTCGTCCAGGTGACGCCATCATCGTCCGCCGGTTCTCCGCGTGCTCTGCATCCCAGTTCGTCACTGGCCATTGAATCATAGCGTAGGTTGACGTCATCGTCGATGGCGTGATCTTCGCGAAGCTTACTGATCCGTGCCGTTTTTCCCTGCCGATTAGATGAAGAGAGGAGGAGAGGGAGAATAATCATGTGATCGGGATCTATCGCCTAGTTGGAATGGGTTAGTAGAGGCGGTACATGGAGGGGAGCTCACGGGGACGACGGGGAGGAAGTGGGGGTAGGTAGCGATTCATCCCTTCCATCGTCACCGGAAGCTCCTCATATCGGATGATCCGGTGGAAGCGAGGGAAGCGATCGCCGCTATGAGGGAGGGAAGCGAGGTAGTCGCGATAGAAGGAGGAGAGGGTGCGGAGGAGCGCCGCTCGAAAGAACTCGTAGTGGCGACAGGCGGGGATTGTCCCCGTGGCTACGCAGTAGACTTCTACCGCGTTGCATCGCTCCCATGCAGCGCTGAACAGCAGGATATGCCAGCAAAACGTGGGGGCAGCGGGCTAAAGGGATGGGTGGGGGTAGACGGTAGCGAGTAGGCGGGTAGAGTAGAAGTCGCGGAAGAGATGGGGAAGGAAGGGATGGAGGGGAAAGGTGACGGGGGTGCGGATCTGTTCGAGGGTGAGAAAATCAAGGGGTCGGCGGGATAACGTCCGAGGACGAAGGCCTATCGCCCGCATCGGTACGTGGGCGAATTGGGGGACGGGTGGGGATGGAGGAGGAGGGGGATCTGCTCCATCTCCGTCGCGAGGTGCTTGGGGAGGCGGCTGCGGGGTCGCCATCTTCGGGCTTCGGCGGCTCCGGATTCTTCGTCGGATCGTCACTGATGCGCAGCCTTACTCCGCTGGCTAACTCCAGCTGGCGCTTCCTAGTGGCGATTTCTTCCCGCTTGCGTGCGGCCTCAGGGTCTTCTGCTTCTGTGCCTGTGCGCGCAGCTTCCTCTGGCAGAGCTTCCCACTCAGATCCAATTTCTTCTTCCTCCTCTTCTTCTTCACTCAGCTCGCCCTCACTATACTCACTATAGCTTCCTTCCTCCGATGTTTCCTCGTCGTTGTCTTCTTCGTCGTCGTCGATCACCACTTCCTCCGCCTTCGAATAAAAGACGTGAGGGATGATGTCGTAAGGCTTCAGATACTCCTGCCGTGATGGTAGCGTATCTTCGTCCCTAGGTTCCTCCAAGCATGCAGTCCACTGAAGGTACGGATCCAACGACCACTCGAGAACATACGGAGCGGGGCTGTCGTCACTTTGCGAAAAGATGTCGGGCGAGAGATCGTCCGCTAATTGTACGATCGGCGCGATGAGCTCCTGCGCAATCAACTGGCGACGGGCCGGCCGTACCGATCCAAAGAGAAAGCCGAGAAGGTCACCTCGACGTTAGTTCTCCAAGCTTGTATGATCAGCAACTCCAAATTTTCGATCCACGCGTTGGTCTGCGTCCACGTCACCTGTACTCGGGCCAAGCAGAAGGACAGGTCGTTAAAAGTTTCGCGCCACAGTCGCCAATGCCCAAGATTTATAAGCGGGACAGAAAGAGGCTGGAAAGAGAAGGAAAGAGAAGGATGAAGATCGGACTGCCAGAAGGTGGGGAAAAGAGAGGGGAGACTGAAGATGGAGAGAGGAGCGAGGGGATCGGCGTGGTTCATTGGGGACGTGGGAAAGGGACGAGGGTGGGGATCGCAACCGGCGGCTCGCGCGGAGAACGGCGGATCTCGCCAAGATCCGGTGCAAAGGTCGAGATGAGGTTATACCCTAGCCGAGCAAGACCGTGCTGCCACACGTTTGACACCTGCTCCGTCCACTCTCGCAGCGAGGCCAAGATCGCGGTATGCCACTGTGATTGAGCGAGTTGATATCGCCGCTGAAAGCCGCAACCGTGGTGACGTGGCTTGTTCCGGGAGCCGCTCGCCGATGAACTGCTATTACCTCCGCCAGTACCACTGCCTGTGAGCTCCCTTCGAACCGAAACGAGGCGACGACACACACACCCACGTCGCAGAAGAACTGCGCCAAACACCGAAGATCTGTATTGAGCCGTGGTTGACGGACTTGCCGAATTCTCGAGATGTGGCCACGTGGCTGCAACAGCTATTCGTCAAGAGCCCGCTCTGTGATGAAACTCATGGCGAGGTCGGAGAGGAAGACGAAGGGCGGGAGGGAGAGAGCGGAGAGAGAGTTAGATCGTCGTCGTTCTCCTCGCTTTCGGAGGAGGGAGAAGGAGGAACGTGAGAGGGGGGAAGAGGACGAAGGTAGGAGGTATGCCGGACGATGGGGGCAGACCTATGGTTGGTACTAGCCTCAGGCGCGATGCGCACCGTGTTGGCGCTGTTAGGACCGAGCTCGACAACGCGAAAGCAGCCAGAGAACTTGAGAGCGAGTTTGCGGTCGCGTGCACATTTACGTACTTGCACTAGGCCCCCTAATTTATATTGATGCTGGGGCCCAGCATTTCCATTCCGAGCCTCATAGCTACGGACCTGCCTACCGTGGGCCAGATCGGTCATCCTTTGTCTTTTTCAGGCTAGCTTCGGGACGGCCCGCTCCATTAGTTCGGTGTACCTTTTGGCCTTGGCCTTAAGAGCTGTACGCGTGTCTCTACCCCCTGCTTCGGCAATTTCCGAGTTACCCCGGTAGTCGACACAGGGGAGGCTATTAGTACGAAGTTGAAAAGGGGTAAACCCCGTGGATTCGTGAGAGGTGGCCCGGTGGATCCCGACGATCTGATATACGATCTCGGGCCACGGACGCGTGTCGTGTGCCGCTAAATTCCTGCGAAGGGCGGTTTTAATCATACAGTTGACATTCTCAGCCAACCCGTTCGACTGGGACACGTGGGGTGCCGTATGTCGGAGCGTGACGCCCCTTCGTGCGAGCAGTTAGTCTACTTCTCCCTTAAATTCGGACTCATTGTCGGTTAGAATTTCTTCCGTATCTAGATGGGTATAGAGGAACCGTTCAATGTACGTGACTATTTTTGCGGCCTTTCGGGTCTTATAGGGATAAACCTCGATGTACTTGGAAAAATGGTCTATTAACACTAACAGGATAGAATATTCACAGCGATTTGGGCCAGGTGGCACGTCGATATCTGTTGTGTCCATACTGACTCGTTGGAAGGGGCGCTCTACTTCCGTTGGTACTATCGTGTTTGGTCCCCGTATTGGGGCGCGATCAGCGGCACAGACCAGACAGTTAGCGACACACACACAAGTTTAGTCATAACCTATCATACTATCCTACTGGAGACAGGAGACACACATAACCCTCCCACAACTATCTCAACTCCCTACCTACCCACACATATGCAT